TGCTTTGCAAAGAAAAACTCGACTTTCAAACAAACGCAAAGTGATTTGCAAATACAAAACTCTATTTGAGAGAAAATGCAGAGGTATGGACAAATATACTGTATGTACTGTGTGTTACAACTGTGAGACTCATTTGACTTTTTATGAGGAAATTTGGCTTGATTTTCTCACAAATGCGTCAAGGCAGATTTTCTCACAAATGCGATTTTTTTTTCCAAAAACAGCAAATGGCGCTGTCGGTCAATTTACGCTGTCTCCCGAGACCCGAAACACCTGTTTACCTTTTCAGACCAATATGAGTGGGGAACAGGTGAGTTTCTGTCTTACTATATCTATAATTAACCATATAGATGTTTTAACAAAGCGACCGTACTACAATGTCAGTGAAATTCACAATAAGTGCTTGTTTACATGATTGATTAGTTCAAAAATCAGTAGTGACATGGCTAAACATTTAACTAGGCAGTCTCTCCCTATAAAAACTGATCCATTTCCATACTTCTCCATACCTCTTATCCTCTGTTGGATCGCGGGATATAGAATATATACATATGTTGATACAATTGTTCAACATAAATACAAGTGACAAAGCCAGATTTTGGTCAAGTTGTTTATTTTCATTGAGCTGCTTTCGCCATTGTGTTGTTTCAAGCTGAAAAGCATAAAATTGTGCTTCATTTTAGATCTGTTTTCCACTCCGGTCATGAGAGCAGATATGGCAGTTCATAACACAGCAAGCATTTTCCATTCAAATATGTTTTTAACAATATACATTTTAACATCTACCTCCACTATTACCCAGTCTGTACTATAGGGTCCATGTCCCAAAGTCCCAGAATGCCTGTCATGTTCCCATTCTCTATAGAGTGGTGGAACTATGATGTCACTTTGTAGGCAAAAACCCGGAAGTGAGTTAGCATTTTAGCACTTCTGGTTCCATCATCCCAGAGTCAATGGGTTTTTTGCAGGTGTGCCTCAGACGTCCTGAAAAGTGAAGCTGCGGGCTCTTTGATCGCCCCCTGGTGGCTGGCTGCAGTACAGGTCATAAACCCCGCCCTCTCCATGTAAACGCATGGGACTTGAGTCAAAATAAAAAAAATTATTACACTTCCAATACAATTTTCCGAAAGATGGTTTTGATCATTTAAGGTAGTTGTTATCACGCTGATACATGTTCAATTGTTCGTTTTTGTGATAAGTTTGATTTTAGCTAGTAATTTGATGCTATAAAAACGGGGCGTGTCGTTATGGTTGATTGGGTCTGCAGGAGTTTGGGCGGTACTTTGATTTCACTGCTCCACTTTACGACACTGCTGCGCAGACTCTGGCTCCAAACGAATCACTACTGCGCAGACTCTGGCTCCAAACGAATCTCTACTGCGCAGACTCTGGCTCCAAACGAATCTCTACTGCGCAGACTCTGGCTCCAAACGAATCTCTACTACGCAGACTCTGGCTCCAAAAGAATCTCTACTGCTCAGACTCTGACTCCAAACGAATCTCTACTACGCAGACTCTGGCTCCAAACGAATCTCTACTGCGCAGACTCTGGCTCCAAACGAATCTCTACTGCGCAGACTCTGGCTCCAAACGAATCTCTACTGCGCAGACTCTGGCTCCAAACGAATCTCTACTGCGCAGACTCTGGCTCCAAACGAATCTCTACTGCGCAGACTCTGGCTCCAAACTAATCTCTACTGCGCAGACTCTGGCTCCAAACTAATCTCTACTGCGCAGACTCTGGCTCCAAACTAATCTCTACTGCGCAGACTCTGGCTCCAAATGAATCTCTACTGCGCAGACTTTGGCTCCAAATGAATCTATACTGCGCAGGCTCTGGCTCCAAATAAATCACTACTGCGCTGACTGGCTCCAAACGAATCACCACTGCGCAGACTCTGGCTCCAAACGGATCTCTACTGCGCAGACTCGGGCTCCAAACGAATCACTACTGCACAGACTCTGGCTCCAAAAGAATCACCACTGTGCAGACTCGGGTTCCAAACGAATCACCACTGTGCAGACTTGGGCTCTCAAC